AGTGCGAGGGAGTAAATACGCCCTCGGCTTGGTATGTCAGTGGCATCTTTTTTGGCCTTTCCACGTCTATCGTCGACGAGGGACCGGACTATGCATCGTCTTTTGACAGCCGCCCTTTGTGGTCCTGAGCGAAATTTTACTGACGGGTGGATTTTTCGTAACCTCGGCCTTAATTCAGGCTTGTCGTCCTGCGGTTTCCGCGCGGACGACGCGGTATGCTTCTCCGTTTGAAGACGTCGGACCATACACACAGGTCCTTCGTCCTGCATATCGCCGGCCGATTTGGGTGTTTCACCGCTTGTGCCGATACGATATTTAGGTGCGTTGTCTATGCAACGGCTTTGTAGGCGCGTTGTGGATCGCAACGGCCTTAGGTGCGTTGTGTATTGCAACGGCTTTGGGTGCGTTGTTTATTGCAACGGCTTTGGGTGCGTCGTTTATTTCGACGACTTTAGGTGCGTTGTTTATTGCAACGGCTTTGGGTGCGTCGTTTATTGCGACGGCTTTGGGTGCGTTGTTTATTGCAACGGCTTTGGATTGCGTTGTCTATTGCAACGGCTTTCGGATGACGCAATTAGCGTGTAGGGGAATGAGGTGTACCGCTTCTAGGCATAATGTCGTGTGCGGCCGATGATGACTCCCATTCTAGATGTCCGGGTCATCAAATAAAGATGACCGGGAAAGGTCAAGGGACCCAAATATAATCCGAATCATCAAATAAAGATGTTCGGAAGGTTAAGGCTTTGGCCCGCACCAATTGGGGATTTTAATCCGCTAGCAATGGTGGTGATGATAATAATGGTAAAACTATTTTTTCTTTTTCTCTTTGGAATAGTAGTAAAACTATTTTTTCGGAATAGTAGTAAAACTATATATATATATATATATATATATATATTTTGAATAGTGGTAAAACTATTTTGCTCCATATTTAATGCATAAAATAGGAGGAAAAAGTTTGTGAGACTTACTTGTATTTGGGCCGAAGCCTGCCCTGCTTGGAATTCAAGCAGGGAAATATAAGATTGGGCCTTTTCTTTGAGAATCAGTTTGAGTCCTTGAGATTAAAATCCGGCCCAAAAGCTACTAGCCCACTGCTGTCCAGTTCCTAGTTCCATCTGCAGCGTATAAGCCGGTTCAGAGTGGAGCCCCGTTCTCTCATTTAACGAGGAGCGTGCATCAACCAGGGCCGCTGGAGCCCGGACGAGGAGATCCCAGCCGTGCCGGCCGTCGCGAGGACCAGGGGTGATGCGCTGTTACTCTTCACGGCCGATGCGAAGTCCAGAGGTGAGGCGTCGTTACTCTTCATCGGCCGGGCTGAGAGACCATAAATCGGCCGAGGGGTCCGCGATTCGGCGACGACGAGAATCTGGGGCGAAGGTGGTCCTTTCGGACGACGCCCCCACTCCGGTCGAGGTGGAAGGTCGTTGCTTCGGCCGAGATGATCCCGATTTTCGGGCTGGACGAAGATGGTACCTGTACGAGATGACCCTGGACGAAGGAGATGCAGCTCTCTCCGCACTGTTTTTCTTTTGGTTTGAATTTTAGCCGATGTGCGGGCTGTTAGCCGATGATGCACTTCTGACTGATGAGGCGCTGTTGGCCGACGGTGGTGCGGCCGAAGCGTTGCCAGCCGATGGGTGCCGGCCGATGGGTGCCGGCCGATGGGCACCGTTAGCCGATGGGTGCCGGCCGATGGGTGTCGCAGACTAGTTGGTGGTATTGTCGGCCGATATGTGACGGCCGATGCGCGCTGGACGAAGGGGGTGCTTTTTGTTTTGCTTGGCCGAAGAACCACCAGGTGTTTGAGGATGAGGGTCCCACTTGTCCGAGCTGGGAGTCGTTGGACGATGCACTCGCACTATCGATGGTGTGTCGTTCTCACCTCTGTTTTCACCGATGGTGTGGCCGGCCGATGCGTTGTGGCCGAAGCGTGCTGGCCGATGCATGTTCGTTTATCTTGGCCGGGGTGCGCAGGTATACTGAGTAGTATTTGGCGGAGGTGTTGTAACCCTTTCTTGTTTGGCCGAAGGGAACACTCTGGCCGAAGGTGTGTCAGGCTAGCAGAGGTGTGCTGGCCGACACGGTCTGGCCGATGTTGTTTGGTCGATGCGTGCCGATGAATGTGTTAAGGGGCCGGTGCGATTGCCGGTGAATGTGTTGATGGGGCGGTGCGGTTGCCGGCTGATGAGCTTATCTTGGCCGAAGGGGCACAGATTCTCCTTCGGATCCTTACTATTCCCTGGCCGTTGAAGGACAGGGGCGCGATTGGCCGAGGAGATAGCTTCAATTATCATCACACAGCTTCTGGACAGTTGGTGAGGGGATTGGCCGTAGTGTGCCATGTTCCTTTTCCTTATGCCGTTTGTTTGACCAACCCAAGCCCTTGTGTCATTTTGCTCATTGGATATATGGGGTGTGTTGCCGCAGCAAGAGCCGAAGTGGCACCACGTTTTTTGGTTTCGTGACTTTATTTGGTTGGGAGGATCTCACTTGATTTGTTCTAGCTCTCAATGAAAGCACCAAATGATAGAGTATTAATTCTTAGAGAGAAGGGAGAGCTAGAGAGATAAAGTGATATATATAATGAATTCCAATCAATTATCCCCCAACCATCCTTTACATGGCTCCCATAGGGAGTATTTATAGGAGAAAAGAGGGCTGGGCTTCCAGGCTTGGGCCTGGCTGGCCCAGTTACAATAAAAGGCCAATAAATGGCTAATAAATGGTATCTAATCTATTCTAATGGATATACATGAATAAAATAGAGTGTACAATGAGATAAATGCTATCTACTGAGCGTATGTGGGCCGCTGTCCGGGCCCAATAGTCGTGAGACCCGGGGGTCCGAGTCTATATACTCTATCAAATAGGCATAGAGCATTTTGTTTTGTTTAGGTAAAAATAGATTAATTTCAATTGGATGTAGTTGAGCGTGATAAAACAATATGTCCTTTTCATTGGAAAATATAGTGATGGAGTATTAATTCTAGAGAGAAGTGAGAGCTAGAGAGAGAAAGTGGGTAATTATATTTCTCAACCCCCTATAACTAGCCCCAAGGGGTCTATTTATAGGAAAAAATGTGGATTTGGGCTCCTAGCCATGGGCTTAGGAGGCCCATTACAATAATCATGCCTTCTTTGGGCGAAATAGGGACACTAATGGGCTGTGTACAATACTTAGTAAACAAAGTAGAGAGATGCATTCTGCCTCGCCGAAGTCTGGCCGACGCGGTGTCTTTGGCCGATGCGGCCCCATGGCCGATGCGGTCCATGGGCCGATGCGGTCCCGGGAGTCCATGCGTGCTTCCTGGGCCGGTTTGGTTTCTGGCCGATGCGGGCCCACTGGCCGAAGGGGGCCACGTGGGTGTTCTTCTGGTCGTCATTGACTTGAGTGTGTGGGCCATGGGGTCCAGGCCCATATACTCTATCATATAGACCTTAAACATGTTTAGATAATTAGTTTAAAAATAAGACATGCTCAATAAATTAGAATATGTATTTTAGACCAATTTTATAATCTACTAAATAAGAGATTTTAGTATATTAGAATATGTATTTTAGACCTTTGTATGTATATACAGAGGTCGGTACAGAAAGGCACACAATGAAGAATATAACTCTATCATTTTACACAGAATATTCGTTTCATAATAACCAAATCATCTCTCTTCTTTGCACAACCCTTTTATGTTTCATTAGTCTGGAACACGTTTTCCAACTTTTCTTATTTGGCCTTAGGATGTTTTTACTTGGACTGTAATCCGTCCCAAACCAGACCATACCAGACTAGACTTGGATAGTTAAAATACAAAGAGATCAGACATTATCAGAGCAGACCACCAACAAATTACAGGCCAAGTAAAAACATACTTAAAAAGCGTTGTCAATTCCTTTTAAAGTACTCCCTTTGTCCCATTTTTATAAAATATCTTTACTATTCACTTGGTCAACACAAATCACTCTTAATCTCTTACTTTATATATAAAAATTTTATGAAATTTGAATTGTTTTTTGCAGGTTTTGTAGCGGGTTTAATGTAGTTTCTGGATATGTAATTTTTTTTCTAAAAATAAATTTGAGTGCAGACAGGGATCCGTTTGCTTTATCGTCGATCAAACATCTTAAATCGAAAAGTATCTTATAATTCGGGACAGAGGGAGTAATAAAATTGTGATTCATAGTATTTCTGAGGATTCTACCCGAATTTTAAATCATGTTAATACTTGCTTTATCATTTAGGGATAGATTTTCATGAGGATGACATATGAAGGTGATGGACGAATTGGGAAAATACATAAATAATACGGAATAATCATAATACGTTCATGAAGTGGACATTTATTATGTTGGGAAATTGCTGGAGTAAAACATTTTGCAATTCCAAAACAAGAGTGTTATATATTTTTCCCTAATTTCCCTAAAATGGAGTCTTAATAACTACCATGATTGAAATGGAGTACCATTAATTATTTTGAAAACAGTACCATTAATAACCATCCTATTTTGAAATTTCATTAATGTACCTTTGCCTTGTTTTGTTTTGTTTTGTTTTGTTTTGTTTTGTTTTGAGTAAAATGTCAGTTTGGTACTCGAAGTTGGATAAAAAGGATTAAACAAGTCCTTATATAGGAGGTTATGTCTGACTGTCGCCATTTGAGGCAGTTTGCGGTGGATTTTTTTGACGAATTTTTGTGTGCATCTCATTCATTAAGTCTAGTTTACTCATACTAAATTTTAGCTAAAACTTCAATCCGGAAGAGATTCAAATGAATTCTTGAAGATAACTGCGCAGTTAAAAATACAGGTATCTTCAAGAATTCATTTGAATGCCTCCCCCGATTGAAGTTTTATCTGAAATTTTATATGAGTAAACTAGACTTAATGAATAAGATTCTAAAAAATTTTCATCAAAAGTTCATCCCAAATAGTAAAAACTTTATTTGACATTTTTTATGAAACTTCCAAACCAAACTTTTTTTTTGTTTTGGTTTGTATGTTTTGTACGGAGGGAGGGGAGTATGAAGTAATTAAACCAAGGACGCCAAGAACTCTAATGATTGAGGGAGACCATAAAATCGCAACCGTCCGCTTGAATTACGAGAGCACCGTACGTGGGATCCAACAATTGGTCTTGTTTCTCGATCATCATGAATTCTGTCCCGGACGGAAGTGAAGCAGCGATGACGGCGGTGGAAAACTTAAGCCGAGAGCAGTGCGTGTATATGGCTAAGCTTGCCGAGCAAGCCGAGCGATATGAAGAGATGGTCAAGTTCATGGACAAGCTTGCTATCGACTCGGCTACCTCCGGGTCCGAGCTGACGGTCGAGGAGCGCAACCTGCTCTCCGTAGCCTACAAGAACGTGATCGGCTCGCTTCGTGCGGCGTGGCGCATCGTCTCCTCCATAGAACAGAAGGAGGAGGGCCGCAAGAACGAAGACCACGTCATCCTCGTCAAAGACTACAGATCCAGGGTAATAGAGTCTGAGCTCTCCGCAATTTGCGCCCAAATTCTCGCCCTACTCGACCGCTACTTGATTCCCGCGGCTTCCGCCTCACCCGAGCCCACAATATTCTACTTGAAGATGAAGGGCGACTACCACCGTTACTTGGCGGAGTTTAAGGTTGGGAATGAGAGGAAAGAAGCTGCTGAGGAAACTATGGTTGCTTATAAAGCTGCACAGGTTTGTGATTTTTTTCGCCAATTGCTTAAAGAAAGTTGAATGTTGTGGACTTTATTTTTAGACTGGAATCTTCTAAAGTTTGATCCTTTTTTGACGGTAACTTTTTTTAGGAGTCCTGTACGGTAAAGTTTGATCCTTTTTTTGACTGGAATGGTCAAACTAAGAATTGTTTGTGCATGCTGGTATATGACCTAGGCGTCCAGTAGATGATGACCTAGCCCCAAGGCATGTTTCTGCAAACAATATTGGTGGTTCACCCTAATAGCATATTTCTGCAAACAATATTGGTGGTTGACCCTAATAGCATGCCCTTTCTAAAATATGTTGGAAAAAGTGTTTGAAAGATACAACTTTGTCCTTGATGTTTTCAGTTTAGCCTGAAAAACATAGTCAATTTGTTACTTCATATTTTTTTGGGGGGTGGGTTCAAGGAAACGTCAACAACATAATGATTTTGTAAGCGTAATGAAGTTTCCTAATATTTATAAAAGAATCCAATTTCATGTTATTAGTATGATTAGAATGCCTATACCTAGTTTAGGTCAATGATGTATTGATAGGAGTAAAGAAACCCAAAGGTGACAGGCAGCAGCGGAGCTAGGGCACTATGCCGGTACAAAGAATAATTTTGGGAAAAATTTACACGGAACTTTTTACCTTAAAAATCAAACCATTTTTTTAAATTTGGGGTGGACAAGTGCTTAGAGCATCCACAATGCTCTAATGTCTAGTCTAATTTTAAAATGCCAAATGTCAAATAAATAAATGGTTGTCTAATGCACATCATATAAAGTGTCGTAATTAGATATTGCACTACGAAATTAGTCTCCAATCCTCAAAGTCTTACTTCCCCATTAGTCTCGCTGCATCATCATCCTCAAAGAAAATTTAGTCTACCTCAATTCAATCCGAATCCTTATATATTTATATACGGAGTATATTTATAAAAATTTATTGTCAATATGTAATATGTAATGTCTGGAGAATCTGATGGAGGACACTCCGAGGGCAAACGGTCGGCGCCGCCGCCGGCGTGGTAGCTATGTTCCATACGAACAATTCATATATCCGATTCAACTCTCTTTCTTATCCTTCAGAGGGATGCCGACATCTTTCGCCGTCCAGGTGCGAGTTGATATCGCGAAAGTTTACGAAGGGGATGTCGGCCAGTTTCTGTGGCTGAAGGTGGATGCTCCACCAACAATGGCTGCAACCGGTTGAGATCCACCTAACCTGCGGGCTGCGACAAAAGGGATACAACACCCATACGTGAACCCAGACAGCGAGACCTTGGTGCCAATGGTGTGGGGGGGGTGGCGTTTGGCGACATCAAAAGACAAGATGTGTTTCTCCCCGTTGGAAAATGACTTGCCGATGCATAGTTGGGTTACCGCAGGACATGCAGTTTTTACTATTAATTATCATCGATCAGGCATTTTTTATTATTATTTTGTCTAGTCAGCAAGTTTAAGAGGATTTCTACACACGGAAAGCTCCCTTCACAGTGTTCATCAGTGTTTTTGCCACGTCAGCTAAACTAAATGGGAGACTACATGCGTTGGACGAGGAAATACATAGAGGATGTCCAATGCGGTGATGTGGCGTATTTTTTTTAAGACTAGACATCCCCCATTGCGGATGCTCTTAGATTGCCCCCTAGACCCGCCCATGGTGGAAGGTGACCAAGTAGGGTGTAAGGTTGGAACTTGTTAGGGAGGGCGAAATGTGATTCAATTCCCATTGCGGGATATTGAAGTGTCTCTCTCATGCTAGAGATAACTTCAGTATAGCATAGACCACAAAGAGGGTTTGATACTATTTTAATTAATTTTAAGTGTTTACATTTGAATAAGCCGAACAACATAAGAGATACAGAGTATAAGAGATGGAGCATAAGTTTCTCTCTTGAAAGTTGAAACATAGACGATAAGGTTATAAAGTCGATCTCTTATGGTTGTGCGTATATGAGTAAATGCGGGATGTTTAACCGTTTCTGTCTTATTGCTAAGAGAATATTGAACTGTTTGTTTTACGAGATTCTAGGAAAGTAATTAACTGAGGGTCTAAGGCTCCTTACTTTACTCCAAAAGTACCTTTAACACTATCATTTATTTGATCATCAGGATATCGCAGGTGCCAATCTTGCTCCCACGCATCCTATAAGGCTGGGCTTGGCACTCAACTTTTCAGTGTTCTACTATGAGATTTTAAATGCACCCGAAAAGGCATGTGGCATGGCAAAGCAGGTTGGTTATCCTCTTTTTATTATCTTGTGTTTTACTCCGTATTATTCATCTATCTATACCATCTTATTAATTGACTTTAGTCTTATTTATCATATCTGAATTACCTTGTGTTTTACACCGCATTATTTATTGTGTGAAAATATATTTTTTGGTTTGAACAATTTCAAGCGAATTTTCCATTTTGTCCGACTAAATGATTCAAATACTCTAATTTGGATTACACTTTAGACATGGGTTACAATAGATCACAAATGATTTCCAACCAATTCATTGTGACAAGGGCAACTTTTGCATCTTATAGATATAATTATATTAATTTATTTTATTCTATTTTGTTATCTCACCTTTTTAGGAAAACAGATCAATATGAGATTTAAAGAAGTTGGAATCAATAAGGATAAGTTAATGCATGAATGCAATAAGGAGGCATAAGAAACAAGCTAATGAAGTTGAGAAGAAATACAATATATGCAATAGAAAGTTGTCTATATATAATTTGTCAATAAATTGTATCATAATCTCATTTTTAGAAAGATTGGTTTTATTGTGTTATGTCTCCATTTGGTTAAAATAGCATTGTAATTGTAAACTTTATTGATACATGTATAGGCATTTGAGGAAGCTATTGCTGAATTGGACACCTTGGGTGAGGAATCTTACAAGGACAGCACTCTTATCATGCAACTTTTGAGGGATAATCTCACTCTTTGGACTTCTGATATACAAGTAAGTATTCATATATACAATTATAATAACTCTATGGCTTTTGGTATAGTGATTGGAAAAAATACTTTACACTCATGTTTTGCTTGCATTTGATGATATGAACTTCTCCCCGTGCTAGACTCTTGATTAGGGGTCCGCATTAAGTTTTTTTTGTTTGTTTTCAGAAATGATTGCAAAATTAAAAAAAATCAAACCTTGCTTGGATAAGTTGCAAAATTATATGGGTCATCCGGAAACGGTCTCTCTTTCCTTTAGTACAGGGGTAAGGGGTAAGACTCTGTACATCCGACCCCCTTACCCCACCGAAGGTGTGGGAGCCTTTGCAGCACTGGGGTAATAATGAAATGATGATGATTATGAAATTTATTTATGAATTCGTTTCAGTTTTGACCAGTTTCGGATATGTTGAGACTAATGCAGTATGAGAAAAAAGTTACCAAACAAAACCAATTGCATATGTTTTGGTCTTAACTCTTAAGGCATGTTCACAATTGTTTTCTTCTTCCTGGTTTTGAAAAACTAAAAGCGAGATGGTTAAAAACTCGGATAAATGGTTCTTTATTTTCATGTAGACACTTTACGAGATTAACGATAGTGAGTATAGTCATAAATAATTTGATGTTCGCTCTACAACTTATATCATATAATGTTTGATGCATGCAGGATCAGACAGGTGACGCTTGATATGAACCACTTGTTGCAGGAGGTGTTGTCAAACGGCGTCCGTCCATCATCTAAAATGCAACTATATATATTTATGGGTTGTGATGACTTGTGAAGTGTACTTTACCTATGACGGTTTTCCTTGTTTTAAACTTTGGCTTATCTTGGGACCTCATTTGAGTGTTTGTTGAACGTTAAGTTTTTGTGTTTCCATTTTCTCTTTTCTTCTTTGTTTTGGTATTCCCCTCCCCCACTTCCTGGGTATTTAAGCCCCCTCCCCCCCAAATGGATTGCTTTTTAGGTACTAGTGATGAAACTCATGCTCATTGTCTGGTTTCCCAGCCTTGTGTACCGACTACAATCATTTCATGGCTAATTTCGGGAAAATCAGCTCATAAACTTCCTAATATTCCATCAGTTTCATACATAGTACTTTATTTTGCTGATAAAATGTAAATCTATAAATTATCCAGAAAAAGTTAACAAAGCATAATGTATCAAAAATTATTATATAGCTAGTCTGTACTCTGTACTACCAAAATTTGGCGCGGGACATTTCCCTGGCTCGGAATCGAAAACCTCTCAGAGTCTCAGGGAACCTTGCTGGGCCGCAAGCCAATTAACTCTAAGGCCCCAGACCCAATGAAAAGAATCGAAATCCAATCCAAGCTTCTAGGGTGCAGGGCTAATGAAAGCCCCCCCTCCCTTCAGCATAGGGGTGGACTCGGGCCGGGCCAACCGGCCCGGAACCGGACCGGCCCGCTACTGTGCGGGCCCGGACCGGCCCGGTCAACCGGTTGGTGCACCGGTTCGGGCCACCCGGCCCGGTGGGATGGCGGTCCGGGCTCGGGCCCTGATTTTGGTGAACCGGCCCGGCCGGTTCGGGCCCGGTCCGGGCCGGATTTTATTTTATTTTATTTTTTGAAATTTTTTTAAGTTTTGGGTTGGATTAAGTATTTTGGGCCATTTGAGGTGGTTTGGGGTTGAGGGGGAGGGGTAGGGGGTTAAAAAGGAGAACCAAAAAAAATAAAAAAAAAAATAGACCGGTTGGCCCGGCCCGGTTTGGCCCGGAACCAGAACCGGAACCGCCCACCGGCGGTTTGGGCCCGGGCCCTAGTTTTCTGGCCCGAGGCCCGGCCGGGCCTAGGCCCGAACCGGGCCCGAACCGGCCCGAGTCCACCCATACTTCAGCATCAACACATTCTTCCGCCCGGCTCTACTTTGGCCCGCTAGGTTTTCCGCGTGCTCCCGGGTCAAGCCAACAATCTGGCCCAACGAAAACGATCATCTTAGCGCTGCATCCCTTGTGGGAATTCTGATGCATCAGGTCCACCACCCTACCCCCATCCATGTCTGCTCCGACATTTTCGCGATGACACTAGTGAAGAGAAAGCACTAGTCAAAGAAAAAAAGTAATGGTGAGCGGTTCTAACTTTTGGTGCTCCGGTTGCCTTCTTGGGCGAATTGAAACACTCAATGTTGTCCAAATTCAAACATCACATAAATCCCAATACCGGTATTTTCACGTCGGGTAGTCCCCAATTCGCAGGTGACCAGTGTTATGAGCGCCAGAGGCTTGCGCCCTGGTTTTGTTGTTATCAACCATCATGGGTTGAGAAAATGGAAACATTTAAAATGAAAAACTTATATATATTTTTAAATAGAATAACATATATAAAAATTCAATATTAATGAAGAGAAAGATTTATTTTATGTTAAAATATTAAGGCTTTAGTTTTAAATTGAAAATTAGTATTTTTCCTGGTAAAGAATGACTCCAAATTCATAAATATTAATTTTAAACCAGTTGCAAAACTTTGAACACATCTTTACATTTTTGAAATAACATTCTTTAGTGTTTATATTTTAAAAAATTAAATTTACTATTTTGTTATCTTGGACTATTTATCATCGTATAAAATGTTTTAAGCAAATTTTATAGTGCAAACAATACTAAAAATTAATGATTTCTTTTTTATTGCAACACATATGTTTACACTTTCTGAAAGAACTATAAATGTATAGCAAAGTTTTGAAACGTTTAAATGCTAATGATATTAATTTTTAATATAAGAATAATAAGAGTGAACATTAGACAAAAATTCAATATATAATTATTTTTTGGTGTTTTTAAAATCTATTTTGTTTATTAAAATTCAATTAGAGCTAATTTGCCTCTTTATAGGAACATTAGAGGTATCATCACACCTTTTAGAACTTGGACATATCTGCATATGCACATATATTTTAAGGGTATATTTGCACATTTCCCTTACTATGAAGTATAAACTGTATGATTAATGTTTGTGCAAATGAGAGAAAAGTAATAGACATCACAAGTTCAACAATTTTTTTATTGAATGGATGGAGTATTTACAAAATAGGGAAAATTCCCAAAATAAGACTAGAATTGTTTGAGAATTCCAAAATAAGACTGCTATATTTTTATTTTCTAATAGGAATAATTATTGTCAAATTTGAAAAATACTGTTATGTTTGAAGTCTAGTACTGCCAAAACATGACAATAATTACTCTTATATAGGGATAAAAACATAATAAACTTATATAGGGATAAAAACATGACAAATGTATTTACTCCTATTTAAGACATTTTTCATTATAAAATACTATTCATGACATATTTAAGTCGAATAACTTTAAACACTTCCATATCATGTTTTGAGTAATAATACGGAGTAATAAATTGATCTGTTTTAATTATTTTTCTACCATAATAATCACGATTTAGACACAAATAAGGTAGCAGACGAACTCAAGTGGATATCCAATAATGATTTTGTTTCTTAAGTTATTTTCGTCGAGTTTCCCTTTCCTTAGAAAATCAAGGAGTGAACAGGCCTTCTTCCTCGAGAGTCAAGAACTCCCTTTACCCTAAAACCATAAATGTTCATTTCCTACATTGGAACAGACTCCAGCCCCACTTCTCTTCGCATCCCCCTTTCCCCACCCTCCTTCCCTAAGCACCCGAAAAGAATGTAAAAATAGAGAAAATAACAAAAACTATAAAGCAATTTGAGAGCAGTACTCATTCTACCATTGAACATAATTTTAAAATTTTCGTCATGTTGGGAAAATTTTGATAGCAGAACAAAGAAAAAGAGACCTTTTCCCCTCTCTCTTTTTTTGCATCTTTTTTTTTATTGTTTTGCTTTCGCTTTAATGGCTGATAACAACCATGATTATGTTGCCTCAAACCTTCTCTGCGCAGAGACTAGTGCCTTTTGCTTTGATGATCTTGACTCTGTTGCCGTAGATAATCAAACTCGTCTATCCGATGGTGATAAAAGTTTGATCTTTGGCAGTAGTGATTCAGACCCATTAATTGATTTTCCAGTTTTGAGTGAAGAGAGCTTTGTTTTGATGGTGGAGAGGGAGGGCCAGCACTTGCCAGCACATGATTATCTCAACAGATTGAGAACTGGGGACTTGGATTTGTCCCGTAGAAGAGAGGCTCTTGATTGGATTTGGAAGGTAGATTCAATAAACTTTCTGAATACAATTTCTTTTCTTTTTACAACCTCTTTATTATTACTATTGGGAGACAGGAGTCTTCCCCACAAAAGATCAGCGGATTTCCTGCTATCTTGTTCTTTCTAATTATTTTAGAAAGATTTACTTAAAAGGGAAGTAATTTACAAATTGATTACTCTTTGCTGGTTTAACATTGAGATTTTCCTTCTCTCTTTGCTGGTAATCATTTTCTATATTTCAATTTTAGAAGTGGTTAAATGGTGGATCCAGCTTCAAGGGCACTTATATTTTTATTTTTTTTATTGTTTTTTTAGTCTTAGTCCTTCTCCTAAAAGGAGATTCAATATATCTTTGTATTTTTAATCTTGAATAAATACCTAACAACTCTCAAACATGTACATAGGCTCATTCTCATTTTGGATTTGGAGAGTTCAGCCTTTGTTTGGCAATAAATTTCTTGGATCGTTTCCTCTCAATGTATGAGCTGCCAGTAAGTATGTCAGTAATATATTTATTGAAACAGATTTTTCAGTATTTTCGATTGTGTGTTTAGACTCTGAAATTCTGTTTTCGTGAGCAAGTGTTGAAGTTCATTCATTTTCTGGAATTCACAGAGAAGTAAAACTTGGATAGTGCAATTGTTAGCTGTGGCCTGTTTGTCACTAGCTGCTAAAGTGGAGGAGATTAGTGTGCCTTTGACTGTGGGCTTACAGGTGAAGTTTGGTGTGGACATGTAATTAATGCATTTGCTCTCTTTAATGTATGCTTCATTAAATCGATTGAACCTGTTGTTCTTTGTAAGTAATGATTTATAAGCGGCAATGAAACACAATGCGCTACAATCAAATATTTATTATGTTTTTCTAGTGCAATTTTAACATACACATACATTTGCTTACTCTAGATTAAGAGCCCGAATGGTAAGTTCAAAAATAGAAGAAGTGTCTGTATCGGCCTATCGGCTAAATGTGCATTTTCTAAAATATTTATTCAAAATATATTTTGAACCGATTAAAGAAAACTATATCTTGAAAGTGAATCCAGGTAAGGACTTCGTCAAATAATTGCCTACTTGGAACAGGTAGGTGACCCCAAGTTTGTGTTTGAAGGCAAAACAATTCAGAGAATGGAACTTCTTGTGCTGAGCACCTTGAAGTGGAGAATGCATGCTTACACGCCTTGTACATTCATAGATTATTTCCTAAGAAAGATTAATGATGATCAATTACCATCACTACACATAATGTCAAGCTCAATGCAGCTTATTTTGAGCACAATGAAAGGTAGATTTCTTTCTTTCTTTTTCAAATATTGCATTGTTTTGCATTTTACCACTCTTTGAAACATATCCCAAATTATTTGAAATGTTTGATTGTGAGAAACATGGATGCAGGGATAGACTTCTTGGAGTTTAGGCCTTCAGAGGTTGCTGCAGCAGTGGCAGTATTCGCTTCAAGAAGAACAGAGGCAATAGAGTTTATTATGGAAATGCCTTCATTCACTCAACAAGTACATAAGGTAATGTTACAGCTTCACTCCACTCAGATTGTGTTCTCCATACAAATGATGAATATTCTTGGTTGGACAATTTTTTGGGAATTCTTGTTGAATAAGTTTGTACATCATTTTCTTAAAAGAAAAATTTCCACATTTGATCCCTGACTTTAATTTCATCCATGTTTTGGTGAATGGTTATAGATTTATTGCCATCCACTCTGGACTAAAGAAACTACAACTTAAAAAAGAATAAATCTTTGTTAGCATTTTGAAAAACAACAGTTTGTAGTTCTGAGCCGTAATTTAGCGAAGTGGTCTTGAATTGATTGCCACACACTGACACACAAGTATTGCATTAACAACATTAATGCCTTATTCCCAAAAGAGTTTGGGGTCAGCTAACGTGAATCGGCATATGATATATTGATATTGGAGATAAAAACAATGAATAGAGAAAAGGGATACAAAAAAATCAGATCAATCCTATACTCCCCTCTCCGTCTACTTCGCAA